GGCGCAGGAGAGGAAGGCCCTCTATGAGGTGGATTGATTCAGTGACTGGGATAATTGGGATGGGAGTGTCGGAGACAGTGCGATTGGCACAGGACAGAGCTGAGTTTAGGGCTGTTGTACATAGGGTCGCTCTGAGTCGCAGGCGACTCGACGGCACATAACAACAACAACAACATAGAAGATTAAATCTGAGGAGTCATTTATCCCTAGAATAAAACTAGATTTTTTTTTCAAGGAGTAACTAATGAATTTGAGTATATATATATAAAATACAAAATGCAGGTTTAACTGATACTCAAGAAAAATAGAAGATGTTAAAAACAATGTATACAAACTTATAAAACAATGTAAGCAAACCAGTATGAAATAGGAGAGAGAACACTTTTTGGGGGGAAGGGGGCGCAGTAGCTGGTTGGAACCAGAATCTGATACAGGAAGCAAATGGGGCCCAAGGGAGTTAATTTCAAACAGCATTAAGTTAACTCAAGACAATGTCTTTTAAAACATTATTCCCTAGAATTAAATAATCTGTGGTACCTGAACTTTTAATTTAAATTGTAAGTTAAAAAGGTGAGGTTTCTGAGCACAGCTGGTTTCCTAGCTGAGAGTGTACAGAATCCACTAGAGTCAGGTACAGCATTTCCCCTATTTCATTGTCATTCAGGAGTGGTTGTTACAGGGGGTGATTTATATGGTTCTCACTGCCAAAAGAACAAACAGATATATCCTGGAGAAGGTGTAGTCAGAGTTTTTCTTAGAGGAAAAGATGATGAAGGATCATTCTCACCTACTTTGGGCATGTTGCTAAGAGATATTATTCATTGGAAAGCAACATTAGGCTTGGAAAGGTGAAGGTATGGTGAGGAAGATTCTCAACCAGATGGATTATTGACTAAGTGATTGCAGTAATGGCCTTAAGTGTGTCAAAGGTTGTGCAGATGGCATAGGCTAGGAAGAGGTTTAGATCTATTGTCCATAGATTCACTGAGTTGTACTCAATTCAACAGCACCTTATAACAATAATCAAAAGAACAAACACTTATGTCTTGAAGGTGCAGCCAGACATCTCCTTGGAGGCAAAGGTGATAGAGCTTCTCTCAAATTTTGAGCATGTTTCCAAGAAAGGCTGTTCTTTGGAGAGGGACATTATGTTTAGAACAGTAGAGGGTCAGCAAAAGAGAGAAAACCCCTCAACCAGATGCATTAACACAGTGACTGTAGTAATGGGATCAATTATGTCAGAGACTGTGAGAATGGCATAGGACAGGACGGGGTTCAGATCTGTTGTTCATAGAGCCCGAATGAGCCCTACTCCACTTGACAGCACCTAGCCACAACACTGTATTTACTTACCAACCTGTAGGAAATAATTCTGCCTGTATTTTACCAAGTCAAAAAGGTGACTAAACGTAGGTGAAATTGTGCACTACGGATTAGTAAATAAACATAATTAAACCAATGGGTACTTTGCTTGTTGCTTATTCTGTTCATGATAAACATCCTTTCTTCACTTTCTAAATGGTTTCAAACTGAGATAAAGTGGTGGTAGTCTCAAAATTCATTGCTATCAAGTAGGAATTGATTTACAGCTGACTCTCCAGCTGTCTGGCCTTGTAAATCTTCAGCAAGTTGCTCATTATAGCAGATTGCCTGTCACTTCTACTATGGAGCAGCTGGTGCATTTGGACCCGGTTTTTGGACTGGCAGGACATCAGTCAGCCTTCCGCAAATAAGTGGCTGGGGAGATTGTTGTTATGTGCTGTTGAGTTGCTTGAGACTCATAGTGACCCTATGTACACAGCCCTAAACTCTATTCTGTCCTGTGCCAATCACACTGTCTCTGACACTCCCATCCCAATTACCCCAGTCACTGAATCAATCCACCTCACAGACAGCCTTCCCCTCCTGTGCTGTCCCTCCACCCTCCCAAGCATGATGTCCTTCTCCAAGGACCGGTCTCTCCTTACAATATGTCCGAAGTATGTTAGACGGAGCCTCAGAATCCTTGCCTCCAAGGAGCCACCCAGTTTAACCCTTTCCAGGATGAATCTGTTTGTTTTCGTGGCAGTCCATGGTAGATTTCAATACTCTTCTCCAGCACCACAGCTCAAAGGCATTAATTCTTCTGTCCTCCTTGGTCATTGTCCGACTCTCTGATACATAACAAGTGATTGCAAAGATCATGGTCTGTATCAGATGCACCTTAGTCTCCAGAGAGACACCGTTGCTCTTCAGTACTTTGGAGAGGTCCCTAACAGCACACTTTCCCATGGCAATATGCCTTTTAATTTCCTGGCTACTGGTGCCAGAGTGTTGACTGTTTTCTATAAATGCTGGTCTGTCTGATACTTCTCTAAATCTGAACATTCAGATTAAGACAGACTAGGAAGAAGGACTGGCCATCCACTTCTGAAATAGCAGGCCTCTGAAAACCCTTTGTTCAACAGAACACATGTAAATAACAGAAAGGGCAACTGAGGTTGAGCTTTCAGGTATGGAAATATAAAGGTAGAAGACCAGTTGTAAGCAGACACTAGTGATTAGGACATGGAATGTGAGAACCATGAATGTAGGAAAATTAGATATTGTTAAGGAAGAAATGGAACGCATAAAACACTGGCGAGATGAGATGGACTAGCATGGGGCATTTTGAGTTGGATGATCATATGATATATTACTCTGGAGATGAAAAGGTGAGAAAAAATGGAGTTGCTTTCATAGTTAAAAAAAGTCATTGCTAGATCCATCTTGAAGTACAATTTTGTCAGTGACAGGATAATATCCATACACATACAAGGAAATTCAGTGAATACCACTATCATTCAGATATATGCACCAACCAGAGCCAAGGAAGAGGATATAGAAGATTTTTACCAACTTTTACAATCGGAGATCGCCCGAAAATGCAATCAAGATGCATTGATAATAATGGCGTATGGGAATGCAAAAGTTGGGAACAGAAAAGAAGATTTAGTAGTTGGAAAACATGGACTCGGTGACAGAAATGGAGTTGGACAGAGAATGAATCTTGTACAATTAATGACTTATTCATAGAAAATACATTTTTTAAGAGACATAAACGCAGGTTATATACATGGATTTCACCTGATGGTATGCATAGGAATCAGATCGATTACATCTGCACAAAGAACTGCTGGAGAAGCTCAGTATCAGCTGTGAAAACTAGGCCAGGAGCTGATTGTGGAACAGACCACCAACTATTTGTATGCAGGTTCAAGCTGAAGCTGAGGAAAAGTAAACCAAATCCACGGGAGCCAAAATATAACTTTGAGTCTATCCCACCTGAATTTCAGAACCATCTCAGGAACAGGTTTGAGGGTTTGAACACTCAAGGAACTGAAAAACAAATTCAAACCTCGAGTTGCAATTATCAAGGATGCTTTCAGCAGAATATTTAATGATCCGGGAAGTATTAAAAGAAGGTGGAAAGAATATACTGAGTCACTGTATCGAAAGGAATTGGCAGACACAGAAGAATTTCATGCAACAACATATGAGCAAGAGCCTATGGTGATGAAAGAAGTTCAGGCTGTTCAGGCAAAAAATAAGGCCCCAGGTATAGACGGTATATCAATTGAGATATTTCAGCTAACAGATGCTGCCCTGGAAGTGCTCACCAAGTTGTGCCAAGAAATCTGGAGAATAACCACGTGACCAAAACTGACTGGAAGAGATCTATTATTTGTTCCCATTCCAAAGAAGGGTGACCCAACAGAGAAGAAAAGGGGTAGAGAAAGAATGATTATTTTTATTAAAGTAAAGGTCTCCCACCTTGATGCTAAAATCAAACAGCAAAAATGGAAGTCAGCCTATTTTCAAGATTATATTACATTTTAAAACACACCAATTAAAGCGACATTGTGAGGATGATGCTTAGTATACGAAGCAGACGGATGAAGAGCTGAAAATAAGTTTGGTCCTCCTGAAAATGGACCATTCAATTCCAGCAGGGAGGTAGTCGACCTAAGAGCTAACTAGGAACACAAAACTGCTCTACTAGGTTTGAACAAAGAAGGGCCTACACTGATGGGCGGGAAGGCGCAAAGCACGGTAGGAAGAGCAGTTGGCCCCTGAATGACCAATCGCTAGCTAGCAGCAGTCCAATGGCAAACGCGGTTTTTTTGAGAGGAGTTTAAGCACCGCCCTTTGTGAGTTAAACTGTTACAGCTGGCCTGTGGAGGTCTTCAAACAGGTCCGATATACTACTATATAAACGGCTACGGCAGCGTCTCTGGACGCTGTCTACCTACAGATTGCAAGCATGTCTGGTCGTGGCAAAGGTGGGAAAGGTCTCGGAAAAGGGGGCGCCAAGCGCCACCGCAAAGTGCTACGGGATAACATCCAGGGCATCACCAAGCCCGCCATCCGCCGCCTGGCCAGGCGTGGCGGCGTCAAGCGCATCTCCGGTCTTATCTACGAGGAGACCCGCGGGGTGCTGAAGGTGTTCCTGGAGAACGTGATCCGGGACGCCGTCACCTACACCGAGCACGCCAAGCGCAAGACCGTCACCGCCATGGACGTGGTCTACGCGCTCAAGCGCCAGGGTCGCACTCTCTACGGCTTCGGCGGTTAAGCGGTTTTTCCCATGCTCCCGCGTCTTTCAAAACTACTTTCCAAAGGCCCTTCTAAGGGCCACCCACGAAATCTATGAAAGAGCTCTGCACTTCCAAACCTATCTTTCCTGGCAGAAGCTAGCTGTCCCAATGTGCGCTTACAGCGTGGCCATTTTAATCGGACGCCTTAATCGATGATTCTTTGTACCTTTTACTCTCCGCTACCTTAGTGACAATTGTCCATTTGAACGCAAAGAAAGGTTCCTAGAAAGGTGTGGTGGGCCATCTCCTGGTTTAGTGGTGGGAGGTCAGTTATGGATTGGTTACATCTCCATGGCAAGCAATATTGTCCAGTTAGCGCATTTACACAATGAACCCAGAGTTGTACACAGCACGGTTTAATAATGTCCGCTGAACGGTGGGCCATACTTAGCCACCCAACACTAAATGTTTCCATTTCCAGCAATTGTTAAGTCCTCCATTTGCAACTAAATATTCTCATTTTTTCCTTTTTTCAGTATTATGTATCTAGTCACCTTTCATCTAAAACAGAGAAACATTTAAAATAAAGGCTATGAACAAGCGTTACAAAGTGAAGCGAGGTTGGAGGAAAGTATGGATGCGTGAATGAAAATGAATTGCTTTGTAAACATACACTAAAATTGCAATTCATTTTTAAGAAATAAAATATTGAAAGGCATATCTAGATTATCTAGACGTACAAGGTTCTTTTGGAATTCTGATACATGGAAAAATCTAAAAAGCATTCTAAAAACATTTTCTTGCGCATTACCTAAATTGAAATGTGAGCGGGAAATTTTTTTATGCTAATTCGAGGATTAATTCAGAAGCCAATTCGGCCAGTAGGCTAGGGCGGAGCAGCTACAAAGTGTCCAATCAGAACCAGAGCGTTGCTATAAATATTGCGAGGACTAGGTCTTCACTTCTGCTTTTTTTGTTCCACTGCACTCATGGCTCGTACCAAGCAGACAGCCCGCAAGTCCACCGGCGGCAAGGCCCCGCGCAAGCAGTTGGCCACGAAGGCAGCCCGCAAGAGCGCGCCGGCCACCGGCGGCGTCAAGAAGCCCCACCGCTACCGGCCCGGCACCGTGGCGCTGCGCGAGATCCGGCGCTACCAGAAATCCACCGAGCTGCTGATCCGCAAGCTGCCCTTCCAGCGCCTGGTGCGCGAGATCGCCCAGGACTTCAAGACTGACCTGCGCTTCCAGAGCTCGGCTGTTATGGCGCTGCAGGAGGCGTGCGAAGCCTACCTGGTGGGGCTCTTTGAGGACACCAACCTGTGCGCCATCCACGCCAAGCGTGTCACTATTATGCCCAAAGACATCCAGCTCGCCCGCCGCATCCGTGGGGAGAGGGCGTAGAATGCCCTCCCCTCAGCCTCCCCCCCCCAAAAAAAAAGGCTCTTTTCAGAGCCCCTCAGTTTTCAATGAAAAGAGTTGGTGCTTTCAAAGGTTCACTTGGAATATCCCAGGTAAATTTCTCGCTGTAAATTCATGTTAATAGCATGAAACTGTAGGAAAGGTAAAGTTGCTATTTGCCAGATTAACACAACTGATCAAGACTTAAAATTTCATAAGTGGCATTCTAGTTATTAGGCTGGAGCTATCTTGAAAGTTGAAAATAGCGCTGAGGCAAATCAAATTTGTTATTTTCCTAGTTTTCCTTCAAACTTGTTTTCCCACACACACCCTCAACTTGAACACCTTCAAATTGTCAAGAATTGAGATTAAGGATACAAAGTAACCTCAGAAAAGGATACAACTGGTATCTAGATTTTTTTTTTCCCCTCCCAATTTTTAAGCCACAGGCTACATGATTTTCCCGATTTTAAAATTATAAAATTGCTCTGTTCTGCTCAAATAATTGTTTCTTGGTCTATATAGAGATTTCACATGAGCACAACTAAGTGTCCTAGAGTACATATTCAATATCCACAATATAATCCACGCTTTGCCCTTTGCATAGTTTTTTTAATCTCTGCTTTTAGCCATGATTCACCTGACATCAGTAATAACATCATTTGCCTATAAGCACATGTCTCACAATGCTGTGGTTGACCTTGTTCTGGCTGATGATACTGAGCATCTCAGATCATAGTTTCTTTACACACAATTTGATTACTGTCTCTGTGTTTTATGCAATAATATTCACGTGCATAGATGCTATTTGTGTTGTTGTTTTAAAAAGATTCCCAATCAATGAGCTGTTCAACAGACATCTCACCCGAATGAACTTGTAGCTGAGCCTCCAGGAGATTTTTGGAGACTCTGGTGCTGGAGAAGAGTATTGGACAAAGCATGGACTATCAAGAGACTGTCTTGGAGAGGGTGAAACCAGGGTGCTCCTTTGGAGGCAAGGATTTTGAAACTCCATCTCACGTATTTTGGGCATTTGGCCAGGAGGGACCAATTCCTAGAGTAGGACATCATGCTTGGATGGGTGGAGGAATAGCACAGGAAAGGAAGTCCTTGCATGAGATGAAGCAGAGTTGAGGGCTTTTGTACATAAGGTCACTGTGACACAAGTTTCACAGGAACAGGTTGCTTATCTTCTGTAGAGCTCCTAATATATTCAAACTGCCTTTGGGCTAGCAGCTTAAGTACCTACACACATCTCTGCCACAGAGCCCAGTGATCTTTCTATAGTATATGCATACACATATTTTCATATTTTCTTGATTACTTCAATATTTAAATCCTCATTCAACCTTCTCTATCAAACTAGTATTAAAACCTTTAGTTTACTCTTTTTTATGTTTTTTAAAATTTATTATTAATTACAGCAAAAATTTACAGAGACTTTGGATTTCCATTCATCCATTGCTGCACTTTTCTCCCCTCCCAACCCTCCCCCCTAGTACACTACCCTCTTGGAAAAGTAATTCTTTCATTGTTTTACAAACCCTCCCCCAGGTCCACTCTACCATGTAGCCTTCGCTCTAGACGTGTCATGACAAAAATACCTAATCACATATCTCTTTTAAACAGTTTTCTCCCTCGTCTGTTTCAATGCAATATACATTATTGAACCCATCTTTCTCAGTCTCTCCCCAACCCCAAGGTCAGCCCTCTTTTACAACAGTGGCACCATGCAGTATTTGTCCTTTTGTGACTGAGATACTTCACTCAGCATAATGTCCTCCAGAGTCACCCATTTTGAATAATATTGCATGAGTTCCTTGTTTTTCAATGCAGCATAGTATTCCATTGTGTGAATATACCACAGCTTTTCTATCCATTCATTTGTTGATGGGTAGTTTACTCTTTCAAATAAAGATAACAAAATTCTCCACTGCAGTGTTAATAGTCTCCACTCTCTTGGACGTTTTTCAGAAGTCTGAAACAGTAATCCCCAGTTCCTCTATTCCAAATCAACGCTTCTTGAAACAGCCTGCTGGGTATCTTTCTAAAATACTAATTTATCAGATCTCAAATGCTCATAAATTTGACACAGATGTCTTCTTTCTATTTCAGATCTTTTTCCATGACCATACAACTCTTTAACTATTAATGGGCATAAAGCAAAGTTGGGGCAGTTTAAGAATGCTGGAAATCCTGACTGGATCTATGAGTCTCTAAAAAGGTGTACTTAAATGCTGAGAGCTATCAGAAGTCTAATAAATAATTGTCAGTAGGTTTAAGGGATTTTTTCCCTAAGTGAGTTATCTGAAGTAAGCATTTTTTATGTGTCATTTTAATGCTTTGCCTATGAACCAAAGAGATAAAGCATAACATATTACATGTAAATTTGTATTATAATGTGGGCTTTGGAATCTCCTGCAAGTGGAAGAGTCACCTTGACAATTGAGTTTTTCCAAACTGCAAAATTCCTAATTTATAATGACATAAGCATGTGGAAACTCCAAGAAGGCAGAATCAGTTTTTAAATAGTGTCTGTGTAAGTTAACTAGGGACATAGGAGACCAGCTGCACTATGTCTGTGTTACTTCCCACACTTAGAAATAAATTTACTACCAACCCCCAGAAACTAAGTGTCTTTCCTCCGGTTCAGATCAAAAGCTGAGCCCCTGGACAAATCCTTTTAGAAATCTTTTGCTTGATACTTAGTAGAAATTTATTGCAACGTGCAACAAACTATCGCAATGTCCACAGCCGGGTGAATCCATTTGCAATGCTAAAGGCATTTTTACAGGATCTTTCCTCATTTGCACACGGTTTCAGGAAAAGACAAATAAGTCTGTGAACCTGGAAGCCCTTTACCTCTTTTGGCACGGTAAAACGTCAAATCCAGTTCTGTTGTTTTTCTTATTTAATGAACTTTAGGGAACCAACAAACACAATTTGAGAGTCTAAACCCGAGTGGCGCCTGCCCCAGGGCGGTGGATTAGACGCTCCACCAATCACAGGGCAGCTCCGGCTTATATAAGCCTCAGGCCTGGGCCAGAGTGCATTGCTAAACTTGCTCTCCTTGGATTTGAAACCTCTTGTACTCCCTTCCTATTACCATGTCGGAAACGGCTCCTGCTGAGACGGCTGCGCCGGTCCCTGTGGAAAAGTCTCCTGCCAAGAAGAAGACAGCCAAGAAGGCGGCTGGTGGCGCTGCGAAGCGCAAGGCTACCGGGCCTCCGGTCTCAGAGCTGATCACTAAGGCTGTTGCCGCTTCCAAAGAGCGCAATGGTCTGTCCCTGGCAGCACTTAAGAAAGCCCTGGCTGCCGGTGGCTATGATGTGGAGAAGAACAACAGCCGCATCAAACTGGGGCTGAAGAGCCTGGTGAACAAAGGTACCCTGGTTCAGACCAAGGGCACCGGCGCCTCTGGCTCCTTCAAGCTCAACAAGAAGGCTGCCTCCGGCGAGGCTAAATCCAAAGCCAAGAAGGCTGGAGCTACAAAGGCCAAGAAGCCCGCTGGGGCCACGCCTAAGAAGACCAAGAAGCCAGCAGGGACAAAGAAGGCGGTGAAGAAGACCCCGAAAAAGGCAAAGAAGCCTGCGGCGGCGGGTGTTAAAAAAGTGACCAAGAGCCCAAAGAAAGCTAAGGCGGCTGCCAAACCGAAAAAGGCTACCAAGGCTTCTAAGCCAAAAGCTGTGAAGCCGAAGGCTGCAAAGCCCAAAGCCTCCAAGCCTAAGGCAGCAAAGCCTAAAGCTGCAAAGGCTAAGAAGGCAGCTCCTAAAAAGAAGTAGGAAGCTGACCTTTTAACAAATAGACGACCCCAAAGGCTCTTTTCAGAGCCACCCAAATAGCCCTAGGAAAAAAGCTGTGCACTCTAACAGGCTGAGTATGTTACTAAATGTGAAAAGTAATTTCAGGAGCTGCTTCAGTGTACTTGACCCTCCCTCTACATTGTCCTCAAACTCCCATTAGAAGGAAAAACCTTAATTTTCCCAATTTCCTTCATCCCACATTCATTATCTCAACTTGTTTTCACTATTAAAAAAAAAAAATCCGCGCTGGCCGCTCATTGGTCAAAATTCAACTGATTTTTTTTCTCTCAAGGCTTACGGTGCCATCTACTGGACGTTTCTGCAAATTGCATCATGTACAAGAAACTTTGATCCAGCTCTTCAAAAGACAGAGTAGGTGGCTGCGAAAAGAGCCTTTGGTTTGGACAGAATTGAAGTTATTTTCCCTTGGCCTTGTGGTGGCGCTCGGTCTTCTTAGGCAGCAACAAGGTCTGGATGTTGGGCAGGACGTCGCCCTGCGCGATGGTGACGCGGCCCAGCAGCTTGTTGAGCTCCTCGTCGTTGCGGATGGCCAGCTGCAGATGGCGCGGGATGATGCGCGTCTTCTTGTTGTCGCGGGCCGCGTTGCCCGCCAGCTCCAGGATCTCGGCCGTCAGGTACTCCAGCACCGCCGCCAGGTAGACCGGAGCGCCGGCGCCCACCCGCTCGGCATAGTTGCCTTTGCGGAGCAGGCCGTGGACTCTGCCCACGGGGAATTGGAGACCGGCCCTAGAAGAGCGAGTCTTGGCCTTGGCGCGCGCCTTACCACCCTGCTTGCCACGACCAGACAGGATGTCTCAATAAAGACAGTAGACGCTAAAATTAAGAGCTCTTTCAGTGATAGAAAATGCAGAGCGCGAAAGTGAACCTATGCCATTGGCTAACTTTACTATTTTATTTTAACCAGTCAAAATTGTCGTTGGAAGGTGCGTTTATTTTGATTGGGCGCGGTTGATGTCTACGTAATCTAACACTTTCCACCAATGAGACACGACACGAACGCAGACTTTATTTGCATAAGAGCTGTGTATAAAAAAAGAGGTAGTTTAAGCCGCTTCTTCATTCTCCTTTGCTATCTTCCTTCTTCTTTTTCTTTTAACCATGCCTGAGCCAGCCAAGTCCGCACCTGCCCCGAAGAAGGGCTCCGAGAAGGCCGTGACCAAAGCGCAGAAGAAGGATGGCAAGAAGCGCAAGCGCAGCCGCAAGGAGAGCTACTCGGTGTACGTGTACAAGGTGCTGAAGCAGGTCCACCCCGACACCGGCATCTCCTCTAAGGCCATGGGCATCATGAACTCCTTCGTCAACGACATCTTCGAGCGCAT